TCCATCTCCATGGAGTCTCACTCCACGTTGGCCGTCGCCATGAACAGGCTCGGTGGCAAGTCCAACACTGGAGAGGGTGGTGAGGATCCTGAGCGATCTCAGCGCATGGCCAACGGAGACACCATGCGCTCTGCCATCAAGCAGATCGCCTCCGGACGTTTCGGTGTCACCTCCAACTACCTTGCCGACTCGGATGAACTCCAGATCAAGATGGCCCAGGGTGCCAAGCCTGGTGAAGGTGGTGAGCTGCCTGGCCACAAGGTTTCCAAGTCCATTGCCCGCACTCGTCACTCCACCCCCGGTGTCGGTCTCATCTCGCCCCCACCCCACCACGACATTTACTCCATTGAGGATCTGAAGCAGCTCATTTACGATCTCAAGTGCTCTGCTCCTCGCTCGCGCGTTTCCGTCAAGCTGGTGTCCGAGGTCGGCGTCGGCATCGTGGCATCCGGTGTCGCCAAGGCCAAGGCCGACCATGTCCTCATTTCGGGCCACGACGGTGGTACTGGTGCCTCGCGCTGGACCGGTATCAAGTACGCCGGTCTGCCCTGGGAGCTTGGTCTTGCCGAGACCCACCAGACGCTAGTCCTTAACGACCTCCGTGGACGTGTCGTCGTCCAGACCGACGGTCAACTGAGGACCGGCCGCGACATCGCCATCGCCTGTCTACTCGGTGCGGAAGAATGGGGCTTCGCGACAGCTCCCCTGATCGCCATGGGCTGTATTATGATGCGCAAATGCCACTTGAATACTTGCCCTGTGGGTATTGCTACTCAGGATCCTGAGTTGCGCAAGAAGTTCACCGGTACGCCCGAGCATGTGATCAACTTTTTCTACTATCTGGCCAACGAGCTGCGTGCCATCATGGCCCGCCTTGGCTTCCGTACCATCAACGAGATGGTTGGCCACGCCGAGGTCCTCAAGGTCCGCGACGACCTTCGCAACAGCAAGACGCAGAACATTGACCTGTCTCTGTTGCTTACCCCGGCCCACAAGCTGAGGCCCGGTGTCGCCACCTTCAACGTCCGCAAGCAGGACCACAAGCTGCACGTCCGCCTCGACAACAAGCTCATCTCCGAGGCCGAACTCACGCTTGACAAGGGTCTTCCCTCGAGGATTGAGTGCGACATTATCAACACCGACCGTGCCATGGGCACGTCGCTGTCATACCACATCTCCAAGCGCTATGGCGAGGCCGGTCTGCCCCTAGACACCGTGCACGTCAACATCAAGGGTTCCGGTGGTCAGTCTTTCGGTGCCTTCCTGGCTCCCGGTGTCACTCTTGAGCTCGAGGGTGACTCGAACGATTATGTCGGAAAGGGCCTGTCCGGTGGCCGTCTGATCGTGTACCCTCCCCGCAACGCCGTTTTCAAGGCCGAGGAGAACATCATCATTGGTAACACCTGCCTCTACGGTGCCACCAGTGGTAGCTGCTTACTTCCGCGGTGTCGCTGCCGAGCGTTTTGCCGTCCGCAACTCCGGAGCTACCGCTGTTGTCGAGGGTGTCGGTGACCACGGCTGCGAGTACATGACTGGTGGCCGTTGTCATCATTCTTGGCAGCACTGGCCGCAACTTTGCCGCCGGCATGTCTGGTGGCATCGCTTACGTCCTCGACATCAACAACGACTTCCACTCCAAGCTCAACATGGAGATGGTGGAAGCCGGCCCGGTCGAGGAGCCCACTGAGATCGCCTACCTGCGCGGCCTCATCGAGGACCACCACCACTACACTGGCTCCGAGCTTGCCGCTCGCATCCTGGTCGACTTCAACCGTGCCCTCCCTCGCTTTGTCAAGGTCCTCCCTGTCGACTACAAGCGTGTCCTTGAGGAGGAGGCTGCCAAGGCTGCCGAGGCCAAGGCCAACGAGTACAACCTGCCCATTGTGTCCGGTGTTCAGCACAAGAAGAAGGAGGAGAAGGCCGCCAAGCTCCAAGATATCGAAGAGACCATTGGCGACAGCGCTGCCGAGAAGAAGCGCGCCCTCGTTCTGGACAAGACAAAGGGTTTCATGAAGTACCAGCGTCGTTCGGAGAAGTACCGCAGCGCCAAGACGCGCACCAAGGACTGGGCCGAGCTTTCCAGCCGCCTCAACGAGGACGAGCTCAAGTACCAGTCGGCTCGTTGCATGGACTGTGGTGTTCCTTTCTGCCAGTCGGAGACTGGTTGCCCCATCTCCAACATCATTCCCAAGTGGAACGAGCTGGTCTTCCAGAACCAGTGGCAAGACGCCCTCAACCGTCTCCTGATGACCAACAACTTCCCCGAGTTTACCGGCCGTGTCTGCCCTGCTCCTTGCGAGGGTGCCTGTGTTCTTGGCATCAACGAGGATCCCGTTGGCATCAAGTCGATTGAGTGCGCCATCATCGACCGTGGCTTCGACATGGGCTGGATGGTTCCCCGTCCTCCCAAGGTGCGCACTGGCAAGAAGGTCGCCATCATCGGCTCCGGCCCCGCTGGTCTCGCCGCTGCCGACCAGCTCAACCGCGCCGGTCACCTGTGACGGTGTACGAGCGCGCGGACCGCCCTGGTGGCCTCCTGATGTACGGCATTCCCAACATGAAGCTTGACAAGCGTATTGTCAAGCGCCGCACCGATTTCATGGCCGCCGAAGGTGTGCTGTACAAGTGCGGCGTTGCCATTGGCGAGGAGGGCCAGCCCAGCCTGACTGACCTCCGCGCTCAGAATGACGCCGTCATCATCGCGACTGGTGCGACCGTGGCGCGTGACCTGCCCATCAAGGGTCGCGAGCTGGAAGGCATCCACTTTGCCATGGAGTTCCTGCACAAGAACACCAAGTCGCTCCTCGACTCGGAGCTCGCCGACGGCTCGTACATCTCGGCCAAGGACAAGGACGTCATCGTCATTGGCGGTGGTGACACGGGCAACGACTGCATTGGTACCTCGGTCCGCCACGGAGCCAAGTCGGTCACCAACTTTGAGCTGCTGCCGCAGCCGCCCCCGCAGCGCGGCAACGACAACCCGTGGCCTCAGTGGCCTCGCATCTACCGTGTGGACTACGGCCACACCGAGGTCAAGCAGCACACGGGCAAGGACCCGCGCGAGTACTGCATCATGTCGGAGGAGTTTGTCGACGACGGCAGCGGCCGCGTCAAGGGCATCAACACCATCCGCGTCGAGTGGACCAAGTCGCCGTCGGGCGGCTGGGACATGAAGAAGCTCGAGGAGTCGCGCCAGTTCTTCCCGGCGGACCTCGTGCTGCTGTCGATGGGTTTCCTCGGCCCCGAGGCCCGCATCCTTGGCGACGACATTGAGAAGGACGCCCGCAAGAACGTCAAGACGGCGCCGGGCAAGTACGCCACCAACCTGGAGGGCGTCTTCGCGGCGGGTGACTGCCGCAGAGGCCAGTCGCTCATTGTGTGGGGCATCAACGAGGGCCGGCAGGCGGCTCGCGAGATTGATCTGTACCTCGAGCAGTACACGGCCCTGCCCGTGACTGGCGGTATCGTCAAGCACACGCCGCAGGAGATCTTCAGCGCCCGCGCCAAGCAGGCTGCGCTTTGCCTAAGCAGATTGACTGATGAATGAGCAGAAATCGTAGGAATGATACCATGAGGCTGGAGTACAGTAGTTTGGGTAGCTTGTAATGTTTATCAGTTCATTCAATGTAAATGAATCTAGTCATTCTATCGATTGATCATCTGTGAGCATTCATCAGAGCCTATCATCCATGTTATGCAGTTGTGCAGGAATACATTGGCCATGATTGCATCCAAGGTATCATGTATTCTAAGCTTAGTTCATTTAAAAGTATTCTATCAAATATTATGCGTCTAGATATAGTATAGTTCATTACATCTATGAGAGCATGAGACGATGTGCTTCCTAGATACATGATCATTTAGTAGAGTCCATGATTCATTTCTGATAATGCCTCGTCATTGGTGATGATGCCCCTCCTAACTAGGTATGCTCGCTCACTGTATGCATGTATGCCATGGAATGCGAGGCCGTACATGTCATGGGCAATCTGTGGCTGTTTGTTGGCACGGCCGATGCATCACTTCTTTCTTCTTTGCTGGCCAGGTGCATAGGTGACATGTCCAGGGGACGCGGTGCATATCGAGATGCATGCAAAGTACAGCGCCTCTGTACGGATATCGGCACTCAATCAGATGTGCGTCATTTTCATCGAGGCATCCATCAATCCATCATTGACTGCCGTGGCTTGCCCATGTTGTGCGCAGAGGATCTCATGGCAGGAAAGCACGTTGCAGCTTTGCTCAACAGGTCGGACAGAGGCAGGGACGAGGCACGACACACGTGCTCGCAATCGAGAGTGCTGATAGGGCAATGGCTCGCTCTTTCGATGGGTGATTTCAGGCGACTGGAACCTTTTGCCTGGGACGCCCTGGACGCCCTGGGCGACGGCAGGTGGGGCAGCATCACAAGGGAGCTCTTTCTGCTCTCTGCCCCGTCGTTCATCCTTGCCTTGGCCTTGACTTTGTCTGGCCCGGACTGCGTTGACGAACTTTCTCCTCTCCCACCTCACATTCTCGCTGCTGCTCTCTGCCTTCACACTCCCGCGCAGCATCCGGCACGACGGCGAGTGCTTCCCCAATTGCCAGCGGTCAATTGACTGCAGACTTTTGATTTTACGTCATTCAACGCGCCATATCAGCCTCCCCCCCCCCCCCGAACAGACATCACGATACAAACACCCCCCGACGACGTGCCGCCTACCCTCTTTCCAACCCGAGTGACACCCGCTGCCGGGCACCGCTACCATGCGTTTCGGCAAGACGCTGCGCGAGTCCGTCTACGCGCCATGGAAGGACAAGTACATCGACTACGCCAAGCTCAAGTCGCTCCTGCGCGAGGACAAGTACGAGGATGAGGATGTGCCCTGGACCGAGGAGGACGAGAGCCGCTTCTGCGACGAGATCTTCAACACCCAACTCGAAAAGGTCGCCGAGTTCCAGGAGAAGACTGTGGAGGGTCTGCGGAGCGCGTCGATGAAGCCTTTGGAGAAGCTCAAGGACAATGGTGCCCGCCGAGGACAGCACCGATCGCAGCGCCGACGACAGGCCAAGCGCCAAGCTCTGACGGCCCACAGAAGCAGCAACTCAGGGGCTCGAGGCCGAGCTCGACAGCATCACCAACGAGATTGGCGAGCTGAAGAAGTACAGCAACATCAACTACACTGCCTTCCTCAAGATTGTCAAGAAGCATGACCGCAAGCGCGGGCGGCCGCTACAAGGTCCGCCCCATGATGCAGCTGAGCCTGTCGCGCCGGCCCTTCAACTCGGAGCAGGGCTACTCCCCGCTCCTCAACAAGCTGTCCATCCTGTACTACGCTCTGGGCCAGCGCTCGAGGACGAAGCCGCCGACATCCAATTGCCCAGCGAGCTCGAGGAGCAGGGGGAGACGCACAACGGCGAGCGCTACACGGCACACAAGTTCTGGGTCCACCCCGACAACCTGCTCGAGGTCAAGACGTATATCCTGCGTCGCCTGCCCGCCCTCGTCTACAGCGAGCAGTCCTCCAAGGGTCTCGATGTCGCCAACGACCCCACCATCACCTCCCTCTACTTCGACAACAGCAAGTTTGAGCTCTACTCCAACAAGGTCGACCGCCAGGCCGAGGCCTCCTCGTTCCGCGTCCGCTGGTACGGGCAGCTGTCGTCCAAGCCCGATTTAACCCTCGAGCAGAAGACGGTCGGCGATCACGGTTCCAGCGAGGAGCGCCGCATGGTCATCAAGGAGAAGTACGTCAAGCCCTTCCTCGACGGCGAGTACAAGATGGACAAGACGATCCAGAAGATGAAGCGCCAGAGCCAGGCCGCCAGTGACGTCGAAGCCTTCCGCAAGACGGTTGACGAGCTCGACAAGTTTGTCCAGGAGAAGGGCTTGCAGCCCGTTCTCCGCGCCAACTATGTCCGCAGTGCCTTCCAGAAGCCCTCGGACGATCGCGTGCGCATCTCCCTCGACACCGAGCTCGCTTTTATCCGCGAGGACACCCTCGACAGGGACCGTCCGTGCCGCGACCCCAGCCAGTGGCACCGCCTCGACATTGACGACCGCAACCTGACGTTCCCCTTCAAGGACATCAACCAGAGCGAGGTCTCGCGCTTCCCCTACGCCGTTCTGGAGATCAAGCTCCGCGACCTCGGCAAGAAACGACCTGCGTGGATCGAGGACCTCATGGGTTCCCATCTTGTCCACCCGGCTCCGCGCTTTTCCAAGTTTGTGCATGGCGTTGCCTCCCTCTTTGAGGACTACGTCAACAACTTGCCCTTCTGGCTGAGCGACCTCGAGGGCGACATCCGCAAGGATCCCCAGAAGGCCTTTGAGGCCGAGGAGAAGCGTCGCTCCCAGCGGGCCGAGGACGAGGTTGCCGTCGGCAGCTTCCTCGGCAAGCGTGTGAGCTCGTACAAGGCGTCGCGCAGCTCGCCTGCCGGCCAGTCGTACCTCGCCGACCGCATGGCTGCCGAAGCGAGCCTTGCGCGTTCCGTGCCGAGGGAGCCCACCGTGGAGGAGGCTGGCGAGCCCAGCGAGGGCCGGGAGCATGGCGAAGAGCCGGAGCAGGGGCAGGAGCAGGACGGCGATCAAAGGACCGGGTACGGTACGCTGTCCGCCGTCTTGCCCAGCTTTTCCCTGTCGCGGTACTCCCGTGCCCGCCACGAGCGCGAGAGGCCGCTGCCTGAGGGCGTCGTCGAGCCGAGCGAGTGGGTCAAGAATACTGGCGAGCTCAAGATCGAGCCCAAGGTGTGGCTGGCCAACGAGCGCACGTTCCTCAAGTGGCAGCACATCTGCATCTTGCTCGGCGGCTTGGCCGTCAGCCTGTACTCGGCCGCTGGACGCAACACTCTGGCTGAGGTCATGGGCATCATGTACATCCTCATTGCCGTGTTTGCTGGTGGCTGGGGCTACTGGATGATGGGCGTCAGGCGGCGCATGATCATTGAGCGCAGCGGTAAGGATTTCGACAACGTGATCGGGCCGCTGGTGATCAGCGTGGCGCTGATGATTGCGCTGATCCTAAACTTTGTCTTTGCGGTATGTCAACAACCCCACTGCGGCCGTGGCCTTTCTTTAACTCTGTCCTCGACTGACTTCTTTTCGTGCCTGCAGTACCGACGCGCCGTCGAGAGGTGGGACTCCGACAACGGCCGTAACGCGACCGAGTCGTTCAGCGAGGAGTTGCGATAGACAGGGCGCGATACAACCCCACGGTATCGAGTAGATCTGGGTACATAAGAGAGGGACTTCTGTGTAAGTGTGGCTTTGGGGTGTATGATTGATCCGTCGAGATAGCAGAAATGGAGCGTTTACTCAATCTGGGGCCTTTGCTATGAGTGAAACCAGAGGAGTGTGAAATGTTCACCACGTACTCGGTACACAGTTATCACCAGACACCTAGGTTCTCTTGTAACCCCCACTCAGAACAGCAGCTATGCAGTCGAAACAACACCTGTCTACGAGCCTCCCGCCGCCCCCGCCATGACAAGCCCCTGCCTCAGTCGCAGCCGGTCCACCTCCCTCTTGAGCATGGCGATACAGCTCGCGACAGCCACAAGCTCGAGCACGTCCCGCGCCGCCATCTTTTCCTTTTCCCGCTCTTTCTCATCTGCCACGCCGTGCCCGCCCGCAGAAAGCAACGCCCCGCGACGGC